ATTTCTGAGACTTTCAAGGAAGTTCTCCGCACTATAGATAGGTTTAACATACTTCAGAGAACTGCAGTAAAGTTTAAAAATATTCTGCACATCTTTTTTTTTATTTTATTTTACTGGTCTTCGAACTGATCGTACAGACAGATATTGCTATTCACTAATCCTATTTCTAAACATTGTCTTAGATATATTAAAATCAAAAAGGACAAATACTTCATTAAAACGACGACAACAAACATCAAACGGATGGTTCTGTCCATAAAGAGTGCGGTGCACAGGAAGGCGGAGAAAATCTGCACGCCGGATCGTTCTGACCGGAATGTTTACATATATATTGCTCAGCAGTACTGAGCAGTCTACGTTGCTCTTCAGGATATCTAATATAAAAGCCGCTGCAACAAAATCCTCCTACTAGCCAAGGTCGGTAGATGTATCAAGGCGCAGCGATGCTCGTAGGGTGGTAATCGAACCGGATCATTCCACGGAAGTAAACGAAGTGCAAATCGAAGAAAGTTCCTTTGAATACGCTCGATCCGGTTAATCTGAACGACATGGTATGGCGCCCACACCAGCACTCCATATTCAAGTATGCTGCGTACGAGCGCGCAGTAGAGACGTTTAAAGCAATGAATGTCTTCAAACTGCTGCGTTTTTTTTTTGATGAATCCAAGCACTGCGTACGCCTTGGCGGTCGTTGCAGCTATGTGTTGGGTAAACCTCAGCTTACTGTCAAGTAGCACACCCAGATCTTTAACAGTGCTTACTCTGTCGATACTAGTTGTCAACATTCTATAATCGAAAATGGTCGCAATCCTTGTTCGATAGAAAGAAATTAGGGTTAACTACCCCATTTCCGGCCTATTAAGCACAACCCGCACTTAGTCTTTCTTAATCTAGCGCAGTTTAGCACCAAAAGGAATGTTATTTTTATTGATGGCTTCCAAACTTATTTACCTTTCCGTACGTACCGTAAGATTTGATAAAGAGAAACCAATCGTTGAGATATTGTCAAAAGTCTAACACTGCTTCTTGACGCCAAACTCGGCCTATGGATTCTAAACTCGGCCTAACGCATTGAAACGCCAATGAATTCACTTCGGCCTATCGGATGAAGATAAAAACTGATTCGGTCGGAGCGCTTCTTTTGTTTTTGGGAATAATGGGTGCACACCTTCATATCACGCGTTCTCATTGACTTCGTTCGGTAGCTTATTAACTAAAGTATCGTACCAAAAGCATAATTGACTTGTTAACTCTGAAATCATGGATTTATTTGAAGTTTTCTGCTACATTACATTTTCGGGCATTTACATCCATTCCCTTTAGCCTGCACCAGTGTAGTAACGCGTCGATGTCAGCTTGTATGGCACAGCAATCAACTAACGATGAAACTACCCGAAAGAACTTCAAATCATCGGCAAACATTACCTTCGGAGATTTAATCGTTTCGCAAAGATCGTTGACGAATAGCACAAAAAGAAGTGGGCCCAAATGGCTCCCTTGAGGCACAGATGTGATATCGAATGGGTCAGAGCTCGTTCCATCAAGGCGAACGTAGGCACTGCGCTCAGTTAAGTAGGAAAATATCCAGGGAGTCAACCAGGCGGGTAGGCCCAATCTGTCCAATTTGTCCACCGCCAAAGAATGCGGCACTCTATCGAACGCTTTAGAGCAGTCGATATAGATGGCATCGATTTGTTGTCTCATTTCCAGTGCGTTGACCAACGAGGAAACATATGCCATCAGGTTGGTAGTGGTAGAGCGTTTTTTCACGTATCCGTGGTGGAATTCGGAAATAATATGATGAACGTGTGGATAAAACGAATCGAAGACGAGGCTTTCAAAAATCTTTGGCAAGCAGCTCAAAATTGATATGCCACGGTAGTTCTCTACGTTGTGGATACTACCAGCTTTATGTATGGGAGTTATGGCAGCAGTTTTCCAAGCACTCGGGAAAACGCCTTCCGCCATGTAACGTTAAAAAAGAATTGTGGCGAGCGATTGGAGTTTGCTCAGCACATTTTCCGGAGAAAAGTCGAGAAGCGCTACGTTCAAATCATACCGAGGCAAACTGTCCAAGTACACTTCAGACGGAGGTGATCGGTTATTACTTAGCACACCCCGAAAGAATGACGAGAACAAATTTGCCGAATCGAGCGGGGTTTCAGCCGTAAGCTCGTTATAAAAAAACATGCTGAGGAATTGCATCTTAAAGACGTTCTGCGAACTTCAGACAATTACAACCATCTTTATAGAAGTTTTACGAACTTCAGGAAAATTATGCGAACTTCAGTGTAGATTTTTGAACTTTAGGAAGGAATTGCGAACTTCAGGAAACATCTGCGAGCTTCAGGGACATTTTTCAAACATCCGAAAAGTTCTATGAGCTTCAGGAAAACTCTACATGCAATACAAGTGGCATGAATATCAAATATAAAGGTCGATTTCTTGCACTCTCTACACTTTTTCTTATAACAAATGTAATAGACTCTTACATGCCTCAGTTGGGTGTGCTGACTTCAATAAAGTTCTACGAACCCCATAGAAGTTATGCAAACTCCAGTGAAGTATGGTGAAGTGGTTCTGATAATTTCTGGGAGCTGCTTTAAACTTTGGAGAAGTTTTGCCTATTTTCTGCAAGTTCTTTGAACTCAAGCGGAACTCTGAACTTCAGTAAAGGTCTACAAACGCCCCTCAAGTTCGGCGAAATTCAGGATATTTTTGCGAACTTCAAGGAAATTCTAATTCAGGGAATTTTGTAATACTTGTAAGTTCTACATACTCCTGGAAAGTTCTACGATCTTTAATGGAGATCTCCGAGCTCAAGAAAAATATTACGAACTTCAGGAAAGTTCTGTAAACCCCAAGGAAATCAGGAAACACTGCAGAGAAACAGAAATCAACAACAACCTTCAGAGAAATTCATTGAACTTCAGGTAAGCTCAACAAATTTCATGAAAATTCTGCAAACTTTAAAGACGCAATTCTTCAAATTTCAGGTAAAGTGCAGCAAACTTCAGGGCAATACTACGATCATCAGAGAAGTTCTACGAATTTCAGGAAAATTATGCAAATTTCAGGGACGTTTTGCGAACTTCAAGGATGAGCAATGTCCTTCTGTATCCTGTATCTACGGACTTCAATAAAATTTTGTGAATTTTAGCAAAGAATTATGAACTTCTTTGCAGTTCTGCAAACTCCAGGAAAGTTCTGCAAACTTTAAGGTTCAACAAACCATCATTGTTTTTTTCAATCATCATCAAAAAATCAAAAGCAGTTTTTTCGTTTAAATTCAAAATTCTGCCAAAGAAAATGTCATCATTGCATTCTACTGGCCTACCGGAACACAGTGATGACATTTTCATTGGCAGAATTTTGAATTTGAACGAGAAAACTGATTTTGATGATTGAAAATTCAATGATGGTTTGTTGAATCTTGGACGTTCAGCTAGCCTCAAGGAAAATCATATAATATTAGAAAAGCAATGTGAACTAGCACTGTTTTCTAGAAACACCAGGAAAGTTTGAAGAACTTCGCCGAAGTTCTATGAAATCCAGCAAAAATCTTTGAATAGGGATTTGAATTTTAATGTAGCGCCGGATTGTCGATGGAACAACTGCCATTCCATGTCTGAGAAAACAGGTATGAAGAGAGAATTTGTTACGATATCTTACCCTATTTCGGTGGTACATGAGTGAATCGGCGACCATCCCTTTTGTCAGTGGTGGCGAGGGGAAACACCCCTCACCATCCCTCATCAACGGATGAGTTTGGTAAAGGGGATTGTTGACCCGATTCGTACCTTCCTCAAAATTGTCCTTTTCTCGCGTTCTAATTTCTATATACAATTTTCACACTGCCGTACTACATTGGAACTAACAACTCTATTATTTCATCTATCGTATAAAATGTGTCCACTTTAAGTCTGACATTGAAGTTAAGCATCTCCAGCTATGTAAATCACATTTACAATGTTTTTGAAAAACTTTTAAGTTTCATAAATAGACAAATAATTTGTAAATTCTGTAAAATTTATTAGGGGAAATGACTTGGCTTCGGCATGACATACTATTTTCGGCAGCCCAAATTGAAACGCTAATTTCACTGGATTTTCTTACGAAAACACTTCGCTGAATGCATTCAAATGATTATTTAGGTTTTCAGCTTCAATTTGATTATATTTTTACCACTGAGAAAAGCAATCTAGCAAGGTTTTCTTGAAATGAAACACACGCATTACAAAATGCTACTGATTTCAAGTTGCCGATGAAAGCACAGCTGTTTAACACGCAGCTCAAATAGAAAGGTTGCCGAATAAAAAGATGTGACCCACAATAGTCGCTCTCACTAGAGAAGTTTGGAGCTTTGTAAAAGCGTTTCAAAACAGTTTTTGACAATTATTTCGACAGAAATTGTTAGAGCAGCTGGCAGCAAACGATTGTAAACAAACCAATACTGCACATGTGTGTGTTCCTTAGAGAAAAAGGCAATAGAATGATGGTCGCTGCTTAGGTTGCCGAGAATACGTAAATTTCCCTATGTGTTTCGCAAGATTCCCTCGAAGAATTCTAAAATATGAAGCAAACAGGAAAGCTCGAACATCCCTGCTGTGTGACTTGCTCCTATGCTCAACAACAAACACCACCACATCGGCACAGCCGCCCAAGACGCCTCCGGTGTATGTTCTCCATGCACGATGTGTATGATGATGGTGCAAACGGCAGCATAATTCGATACAACCAGAACTGTGATGAGCGAGACGAGGGAGCACCGAAGACCACACATCCTCGCCTTCCATTCCATTTCGTTATCGTTCGCTCCTTCTCTTACCAACGATGGGGAAGCATCGCAGCTACGCAGATCTGAAGATATGATGCGAGAGGGAAACTATCGGCCGACGAGAGAGAGCGGCACAAAAGAGCCTGCTGCTGTTGCGCTAGGGGTCCGTTCGGTCGGTCGGTGGTAGAGCATTTTCGTTTCCCGCTCGGCTAAAGCTGTTTCATTAGTGCGCGCGCAGTTGTCGAAGCTGGACGCTTTTGCAGGAGCATCAGCCTGATCAGAACTTGAAACCTAGGGCACCAGAAAAGGAAAAATCTGCGCTAGGACTACCAGATAGCTGGCTGGACTGGAACGAAGGGTCAGTGAGTTATTGTGAGGGTGATCCGAGTGGCCCGCGCAGCACTGCAAAACGTCAACAACGAGCGGAGATGGTAGTAGAATAGTAGTAGGCGCATCAGCTAGCGAGACAGTGCGTTTAGTAGTTTAGTGAACTGTACTTGGCCGACTGCGAGGACTCCGACTCTGTGCTTTATTGTGGTGTTTAAGTGAAAAATTGTCGAACCGAAACGACGTTAAATAAAGCAAAAAAAAAATACGGCTGCCGGGAGAGAAGCAGGAAAATAATACATGAACAGCTCTCTGGAAGCGACTTTTAGCGTGGGGAACAACACAAAAGAAGTTTTGAGTTTTGCTCCGACTCGGTGTGTGCTCTCTTGGAAAGAAACCGGTGTGGAACGATTATCTCGGACTTGGTTCACTAAGTTTCCGTCGTCCGGCCGGTCAGTAAATGCTAGAGGAAGAAGTGCAAAAGTGCAAAAAGAACTGCTGCATACCAAAGATCGAACCCCGAGTGAATTGGGTTGAAGCTGTGAAGCGAACGATCCGTACTGGAAGTGGACTGCTAGACCTAAGTACTTAAACCTTACAAAACGTTCTAAAATATTTATTTCAACACTGATAATTGTGATTTCAACTGAATGCTTATAAAATGTACACCAACTTAACCGTACTTTAAGTAAGTTAAACCGCTAAGTTCTGCACAAAATCAAAAACAAAATTGACACACAACAATCCGTCCAAACGATTCAAATCAACAAGTATTTCATTAGCCCGTAGAAGTGCACCGCAATCAAATCGCAACCCCCTAATTTTAATTTAAAAACAAAAACTCGATAATACCAAGATAACGATAATACAACAAAACGCATTTTCATCGTCAATAATCGCTTTTAAAGAGAAACAATTACCGACACTAAATTCCGACATAATCGAAGAACAATTTTCCAATTTCGGAACGATAATCAAGTGAGAAGTAACTGAAGAATACAAAAAAAAACTTCCACTTACCGAGAGCTGTGCATTTTACGGAAACGAAAAGTTTACTTTTCCTCAATTCACACCTAATCCCAAGTATATCGTGTACATACACACACACACATACACGAACGGATTCGTAACCAGGAGCAATCGAGATACGCTTTATGATAGGTAAGTCTGATCTTGTAATTTCTTTGTTTGGCGTTTTTTTCCAAATGTTAAATTTCACCATGCATTTTCAAAGTGAGTTTCATAGAAGAAGCGGTTCTTTGGTGAAAAAAGTGAGTTCCTGAAAAACAATAAAAAAAGCGAACGCAGACAAACAGGGAAGTCGGAACCAGAAGGCAATCAGAAGAACGGCTACACAGAAGTATATACTAGCTTAGGTTCGTTCCCCGCACGGAACGTTTAATTCGAATTAATTTTTTTTTATTAGGCATTTTTTCGCTCTCGCTCTCTGGAAGCTAAACTACATTCAGCCCGTACGAAGTGCGGCTTTGGGTGTTTGGCTTTGACGGATGGAGAATGGTGAAGGAGGGTTCTGTGTCCGCGAGTTTGTCAGCGCTCGCATTTGTTGCTCGCGCTTGTTGTGGGTCGTCCAAATGAACCTATGTGATCGCGCGAACGAGCGATCGTGAGAGGACTGCGGATCGGCTCATGGGCGGATGGGATTTGACAGGGGGAGAAAAGTGTTGGAATTCTATGGGAGTAAGTTGAAGGTTAACGTTTGGATTTGAGGAAAATTCTTAGGGAACAATGTTTGTTTTAATGAGAGAGAGAAGGATTAGTAATTTCCATTTAATTCCACTACTTTATTTGCTTATCCTTGAGAGATACGTGTATTTCGTCTACAATGTGCAGACTTCTTCAGTGTCTTGTACTAATAGTCGAGTATTAGTACAAGACACTGAAGAAGTCTGCACATTGTAGACGAAATACGCGTATCTGTCAAGGATAAGCAAATAAAGTAGTGGAATTAAATGGAAAATACTAATCCTTCTCTCTCTCATTATACAGGTATTCCACTAAGACGCCCACATTCATCAGGAATGTTTGTTTTGTTTTCTGTTCCTGATCAAATCAGTCTCTATCTAGATATTTATCAGATATTCGCATGTTTTAGCCATCATTGAACTTTGATTAGTCCTGCTCCAAATGATCATGTTGATGACCTATCTAATCCAAAAAAACGATACCGTAATGCTCCGAATACCATATGGTCTGTTAATCCGGACATTTCATGTTTAATTAATTATAATGTCTACTTTGCAACATAATAAACATGTGAATGATGATAAGCGTTGATAACTTTTAATACTCGACACTGTCGACTAGTGCTATTAGATCATGGAATATTTACTTAAGTAAGTGCAAAAGGGACGTATATAATGGAGTTTCAATATATTATATATTATAACGTGGCAAACAAATGTCAAGAACATATTGTCAATTATTTGTTAAAAAATATGTGACAATACGTTTACCTTCAGATAGCTTCAAAGAGGAACTCAAAATTTCAGAAATATTTGGGTTTTTTTGCTTTGTTCTAATCCTAGGTGTACCAAAAGACTATATTGTCACTTAAAAAACAGATTTTAGATTTAAGGCTCAGGGGTAAGTGTCATATTACAACTGACTTAGCTCGATGAACTGAGAAAATGTCTATTTTGTTCATTGAATTTTCCCCCGATCGGACATTTAATTCCGGAGACAATACTTAATCAGTTAGATGTATTCCAACCTTTTTCAACATATCTTGCATGGGAAGGCATGTGTTAAATATTGACTCGCTGTTTTTGGCAAAAAATGTCTACATATACACATTTTTCAGAGAAAAGAGGAGCATTGTATGTTTCTAAATTTATGGACAATCTAGGGCTAAGTTGTATTAGTTGAGTGGTTACCGTTTCTGCTCACTAAGCTTTGTCTTCTTCTACGATCTAATCATCCTTCGATCTAATCATTCTTCCCTACCCAAAAGACCGTGAGGATGTGGCCGGCGCTGTGATTTATCTATATTTGGAAGTGGATTAGTTCTGATCAATAACGAAAGAGCAACTACGAAATGCACGGTTTTTTATTAATAAAAAAAAAAAAGATATCTAGGACTTAAGTTGTATTACTTTGTCTTTAAGAAGTGTAAATCATGGAAGTATTTTAAACTGCTTAGAGTTCAAATTTAGCCTGGTGACTAAGCACTTTATCTGGTCATTCTTAAACCGTTTGAGAAGTTATGGGTTTCTAGATGATGGCAAGAGTTATATATATTAGGAATCATATGATCTTCTTCTGCTATGCATTATTTTGTAATCCAAATAAGATAGAGACAATTCTTATTCCGGCAAACAGGTTCTGCTCGATGATGACATTTTTGTTCCAAGGAGACTAGAGAGTAATTTTGAAAAGAAATTCAAAGGCTTAATAAGGGAAGACTATGGTAATAGGTAGTTATAAATATAATCAAATGGTAATACTGAACAGAAGTCCAAGGCGATTGTGAGCAAATATCCTTGATAATTTCAAAGAATCTCTGACAAGACCTCAAAGAGAATTTAGAGAATATTTCCCAAAAATGTCCAAAACTCCACAGAACCAAGTAAATTCGGACAAGATTTCCAAAGCTTTGAAAACTTTTAAGGAATTCTGACATTAATTTCAGGGTAATTGTGATAGAAATTTGAAAATAATCAGCATCAAGAAGAGGTAAATTAGCAGTTGTTTATAGTAGAATCCCAGAGAAGTCGAACTCACAATATCAGATGACAGTGTCATGGGAGTTTTGAGGAGAATCCAACAGAATTAAAAAAATATTGACGGAGTGTTGAGACAAATTACAACGACATTTTACGGAAAATTCGAAAGAAAATTTAGAAATGAGAAGGAATTTCAAAAATAACTCTGCGAATAGAAAATACAAAGTTCTGATGAGAATTACAAGAAAATCCTGACAGAAACTCCAAGGGTATATGTAAAAGAGTTTCAACAGAATTCTGTTAAAAAATCCAAGTAACATATATCAATCTGATAACAGTTTCAAAGAATTTCTAATGAGAATTACAATTCAGATGATATTTTCTTGTGACTTTCGAGGAAGATTCCAGGAGACTTCTTAGGAAAGATCGAAGAACTTATGGAAACATTCCAAGGTTACTCTTGAAATTGATTTGAAATTCCCAAGACATTTTTCTAAGAGGATTTCAACCGAATTTATATAGAATACCTACGGAATAGTGAGGTGTGATAGCACTGTCAATAATGACATTTGACTTCGATTTAGGTGGGCTACAGCCCAACTAACGGGAGCCCAACTAAAACGTAGCCCACCTAAACATAGCCTAACGAGCGAAATTTGACTGTAAAACGAAATGGAACATTGTGAAACGGAACACAAATAAGGTTACAAGAAACACACTTTTCTGATGCTCGTAGTGTTGCTAAAGCTCCAAATTGAAAACCCCGTTAATATGCATGAAGTGTCGTTCGAATTAGCGTGGGTTCCACGGTATAGCTTTTCTAAGGGAACTGAAACAGATTTCGACTGAAGTTGAAGTTGCTGCCACTAATGACAATGATTGAAATCTTCGTTAAACTTGTTAACTTGGGTAATATTATTTATTGAACAGTGGGTTTTTTGAAGCTCACTTTTGTGCTTTGAGAGGTATATAAAATGATCAGGTGATGGAGTAGAAGGTGACTTTTAAGATACAAGCTAGGTATATCTTATTTTGGATTATCGGACCCAGCATTTAAATGATAAGCCGAAATTTGACAGTTCTAATCTCTACTTACATCTAGCTGAGTACATAAGTACTCAGATGACGATTTGTGCAAATGTCCGAGGGGGGCGACACATCTAAATCTCAATTCTAGATGCTCAACAAATCTCACACTAGCGAATCAATCTTCGGAAAATCTTCTCTCATTTCTCACATCTACTTGCATCGCGCATCATATTTTTGCAAGAAATCTGCAGAATCCTCAACAGTCCTCTTTCTATCTACTCAGCGTGCGCGCAGCTACAACTACGGAAATAGTGACCAAATAGTGACTTTGAAATAGTAATAATGTTACAAATAGTGACATTAAAAGGGTGACCCAGACAATTACAACAGGCTTTTTCAATTCTCCACCAATGTAGAGGGCGCCAGGTGATTTTGAGAGGAAACGTCAACTAAACCGTTTGGTTTACATCAGAATAAGGATTTTTCACAACGCAAGTTAAAGCATTTTTCATTGCACATCTTGCCAATTTCCATTGGTAATTGTCTTATTTTACAATTTTCCACAAATCTGAACTGATCTGTACCTCAAATATACTCACGCAAGAAATCCGGAAGATCATAACCACTTGAGCACAATTCGAATTTTCCGTTTTTTTTCAACAAAAATATTCCTGAGCATTCAAAGCATTCTACCAGAAATTCCTTCCGAAATCGATACAGAATTAAATTTTCAAACTGTAGATCAAGCTTTGGAGCATCTCAAATGAATCAAGTAATCCGAAAAAGTGAAAAAGTGTTCCGTTTCTTTTGTCTCATGGTAAACATTTCTGCTCACAACACTCTTTTTGAAGTTCTCCTATTCACCTCCAGAGGTTGAATCGATCGCTGTTAAAAAGGCGTATTCGGTTTGATGTTGATAGTAAAATATCGAAAACTTAAATTCATGTTTTATAAATTCCTCTAAATTTTTGAAACCTCTTAACGTAATCGCATTTAAAGCAGTTTTGGAGTTTGTTTAGTAATTTCCTTTGAATTACGTGGGTACACACTCATATATTTTTTTACAGGGGTCAGTATGTTTTTACTGGGTGTTTGAATTACTGAAAAACTCGGTTAAAATTCAAATTTCCGTTATTCATAAAGATTCGATCAAATTGACAAATTTTATTTTTCATCAAATTTTCGTAACACATTTTCGCATCTTTGAATTTTTCACAGATTTTTTAAACTTTACCGAACAGTTCCGCAATTCAAAAACTTGGTAAAAATTACTGACTGGATAAGTGTGTATGTTTTAAATTTTTCATGGATTTTTTGCAGTTTTACTGGTTGGGTGATGTGCATTAACGTTAAGTATTACATCGATTAAGATTGAACCGAAGAAGGTACATGGTTAAATAGGTCTCTACTACGACAGCAGCATTGTTCATATATATTTAATTTGTTTCT